TGTGGGCGAAAGCCCCAGGCGAAACAGGAAAAAAAAAAAAAAAGAACAGAACAGTGTGTGTGTGTGAATGTGTGTGTGTGTGTGTGTGTGTGTACGTGTGTGTGTGCGTGTGTGTGTAAGGTCCTTTTTTTTTTTCGAGGGGGTGGGGGAATCCCCTTAACACAACTTAGATAGCCCATGCAGGCTATCTGAAGGGTCCGCGCAGACATGTAGCGTAGACCCCCCCACCAAAATCGAGGCAAACAGTGAATATGAAATAGAGCACGAGCTGGCCCGATATATACTCAAGATTCGATTTCTGGTCTGTGTTTCAGCAGTTATGGATTGCTCACGTAGCTAGGGCCTGTTGGTCACTGCACGTGAGTCTTAGGGCTTGGCTGCACTAGGGCTTGGCTGCACTACTCACGAAATGTGCTAAGTTAGAATGAATCTTCTGCAGAACGTGGAATAATACGCCACCATATGATTTGTCTTTTGTGCATTTGGTGTGTAAAGGCCCTTCATTAACTCTCCACGTCCAGCTCCCATATCAGAACGTACCTGCGCATCTTTGGCAATATGACACCCTCGCGGCAGCACTCCTCAAAATTTTACATGTATCTGGACTGTGGATGGGATCAGGTACTCCTTTCAAATTAATCCAACGTTTTATGAATCGGGACCATTACCAGTTGAAGATCTTTTCAAATATTGCCTATTGAATTCGGGGCCCTAATCATCATATTAATGCCAGTAATTATAACTTACAAGCCCATTCAAATTTATTCAACGTTTTTAATGTATATGTATGTATCAGGACCATTACCTGTTCCATATACATTTCGGATATTGTTTTCAATGTGTGTATCCGGACCATTACCAGTACTAGATACATTTAGAATCGGGCCCTCGCCATATTAATCACGGTAATTATAAGTTATAACTCAACGCCCAAGTCCTCTCCGAATGTCAGAAAGACAAACATATCCACCATTTTCCCACCATTTTGCTGACGATCAAGTCCGGATTTCAAAGAGTAGAAAATTTCTGAATCAAGCCGCAAAAGCGCAAAAGGAGGGAATCAGAAAATTGTGAATCAAGCCGCAAAAGCGCAAAAGGACGGAATCGAAAAATTATGAATCAAGCCGCAAAAGTGCAAAAGGAGGGAATCGAAAATGGAGTCGACGGGGCCGTCATTTGAAGAAGGGTTTCTTCGGGTTGTCCTGCGCAAGCGAAGCTGGGTCATGCTCACAACCCTGTCTCCAGGTAGACTGTGGGCCTCGCCACACCACTCTCGAATCTC